TTCTACTTTAATGGGTGAACATTTTTATTAGTTAGATGCATTGAAAAAAATACTCTTTTTTCCAGATTAAAATATTTACGCGATATTTTTTATTTTATCTATTAGAATTTGACAATTGTTTTTATCGCTTTTTCAGTTAAATTAAAATTCAGTTTTTATTTTGTTTCAACTGAGATGAAACTAGAAAAATATTGTCTAAACTCTAAACAAAAAAAGTGATTTATTAAGAAAATGATGGATGTGCGTGAAAACATTGTATAGATATAAGTGAACGTATGAATGTGTAGGCATAGATGAGGATACAAGAGTAGCTAGACTGTGAGTCTGATGACTATGGGCTAACAGAAGATGTTCATTCACATCTTAAAAAGTGTTATGATATGTACAATAACTAATTAAACTCTCTTATATTTGTGTTAGACAAATCATAAGGTTTAGAACAAATTAAATTAGAGATCATTTCGCAATAGATTTTCATATAAGGTTTTATATTATTTTCATAAGAAACAAAAGCACCATCGAATTTATATCTAAATATAGAAACCTAGATGTATATAAGTATTCTAATGGCTAAAAATTAAAAAATGAGGTGTTCTTAAAAATTTATACAGCTTTTTACTGCCTTTTTGTACACGTTGTATATCTTTTTCGGTTTGTTTTATTTTTGAAGAAAAGTGCATAATAACGTATGATTGATATAAAAATGTTAAGGAATAATATATGTGATGGTATCGTTCAACATTTGTATTAACATAAAATTCAAAAAATCGAATCCTACAATAGTAAAAAGAAAGATGTGAAAGATATTTCTACGCAATTCACATACAAAAATGTTTTTTTTTTTGTTTTTTTTAATACATGTCAGACTTTCGAAATTTTTCGACATAAAGTATCTCATTTGAATATTATCTTCCTTATGAAAATCTTGAGCTTTATTTGCTCTATTCAATGCTAAAATTTTTATAAAAATAAAATAATATAATCAATCAGAATAGAATTGATAAACATTAACAATTTAATTTAAATAACACGCTAAAATTATGTGAAAACAACTGAAGCTGGATCTATTCCCTCCTATTTTATCTGGATATTCTTTTCAAAAGTTTTGTATAAAAGTAGATTTAAAATAGTTTTAATGAAAGATGTATTACAAGGTCCACGTCTTCTATTATGATGTTAGTAGGATAGACGAACATTTAGAACAAAACTTTTAACGAACAATAATCTTCGTTTACGATCTTTTCCATCTTTTAAAGAGTTTTTTTGTCCCACTTTTTACAATATTAAAATATTTTTGAAACGCGTGAGAAAAATAATGAATTGAGTGAATAAGACGGTTTATTCTCTTGATTGATTGAATATTTCTTGTTAAAAATACGTAAGATATCTGTAAAGGAGGACTATTCCTACTGCAGAGATCTCTTTAATTACTTTGTTGTTGTTGTTGTTGTTGTAGTCAAAGAGTAAATCTCGATAGGAATCGATAGAACTCATAATAGATTCAAATAAAAAGATACAAGTTTCCTATCACTAACCTAAATGGTGCTGTTCATGTATTGGTTTATTTAAACTAGTAAAGGTTCGACAAGAGAAAAAATTCATATGAAATGTATTAAGAAAATGGAATAGAATACATGTGTATTTCGTTCTAGCTCATAGATGGATAAAGCAAAAGCTTGGATTCTATAACGTGTTTCTTGTCATGGAATAATATAATAATGAATGAAACGTTCTCAATTTTATAATATAAATAACTTTGCAATGAGTGTTCGTTTTTGTTATTTGGTTTATCTATAATAAAAGTAAGTGTGTAATCTCTAATGTGAATGAGTTTGATCAATATCGAATTTTTGGCAAAATAAAAACGAGTATTCAGGAGCATAGTGTTGTAAGAGAGAATTTTGAAAATCTTAAATATATGTTCGAAGAAGCTATTTGAAAAAAAAATTCAGAATTTAGTGACACGATCAATATCGAATAAAGAGATTTCGTTCGAAGGATTGATTATACGTGATGATATTGTTAAACGAAGCAAATAACATTTTTCTAATTTGTCGTAGTCATTATTCTGCATCTTTCTGTAACTTAACATAATAAAATATATGAATATATACTAAAGATTGTTATTATAAGAGTTTTAAATTTTTCAACAAGATAATCAATATAAATATAGAAAAAGCAGAATATTAAAAAATATATTTAGTTATAAAATAAAAATTACATTAAAAGAAAAATAGTGTTGCACTTTGAAATAGATTTCTAGATAGTAAAGTAAAGTTTTATTTTAAACATTCAACAAGATAAAATGGATAATTTATAAAAAAGTTTGTTCAATGTTAAAATTGGTTCTATCACTAATAATGTCCTTATCAGTCTTTTCTTCTCATTCTTATTTTTTATTTTTTAATTCTCTTGTGATTTCGTCTACGAACCCTTTTTGTTAATATGATATCTCTTCTCTATTCATATCTGTGTCGCTTATATAAAATTGTATTCTGTGTTTCAGAGATTGACTAGATAAATGAAGTAGTGTAGTCAACATTTATATCGTTGATAGTGTTAATATGATTACTTAAGTCTGTTAGTATCATATTAAAATAAAGCATACATAATTTCAGTACTGGAAATTTACATTTGAATTCCAATATAACGATGTAAGAATTTACTGAATCATGTATTTTCATCGATGGAAGAAAAATTTATTTTTATGATTTTATATGGATCAATATGATTTAATACATAAACAGATAAATATTCTAACAAAAAGAACATTGCATAAAAAATGAAATATTCTGTTCAGCATTTATTTTTTAAAAATCGTCTTGCTGCGATAAAACGACAAAATTCAATGTTAAATTCACAATATTTTGTATCTATTAAATAATTTGATGATGTTTCTCTTATCAATTCAATATTTTTATCATTACTTGAAAAACCTATCTTATCATCGGTTTCAATTATTATCGTTTGATGCGTATCAAGATGAAAAAATTTAATCTTATACTATACGGAAACTACAACAAATATATTCGGTAAACATTTTAATATTGGTATTTTTTTTTTGTTAGATAAGTGTTGAAATGAGCTGACGATTACCAGAAAACCTAAATCTCTTATCGATACGCTACCTAGCATTTCGTTGATTTTCTATTATTGTAAGAATGAAATAGATGATTCATATAACCGTCATAGGTGGTTTATCAATGAATTCGAGTAGAAATGATGATTATACTGTAATATATAGGAATTCATTCGTGAGGATAATTATTAGTTAAAAGATTATTGTTCAGGTTGATATGTCTCTTGAAAAAAATTACAGAAAAATTTTCTTAAAGAAATCATTAAGTTTCCATGAGCAATCAGATTTCTAGTATTTGTCTTCTGTGACTATTTACTAAGTAATTGAAAAATTTCTCAAAATTTACCTTTTAACACTATAATTAATCATTAAGATTACCTTACCAGTTTTACACTACATTATCTTTTATTTCGATAGGGAAGAAGTTAAAAATTATTCAGACTTTACATAATTTTGCTCGAAAGAGAATTATTATTGTTGAAGTCTTTGAGAAATTCTCAAATGTTGTTCTTTTATGTTTATATTTTGTTAAAGTCTTTGTCTGAAAAATGTGAAATTAACTTGTTTAAATGATCTATTAGAAACTATTGAGAAAAATAAACAGAAACGTAAGAAAGATAAAAAAGCGAATGATAATTATGAAAAAATAAATAAGAATCGATAGAAATAACATCCTGAAAAATCTCTCTAAAATATTATAAATAAAGTTTAACAAAAAAATTCTTTCTAGTTTATCTTCATTTTCAATGATAAAAACTAAAAGAATTTTCACTGATTGATATGATTAGCGTCTATTTTGAGTCATTCAATATATATTAACCTGATCAACTTATAGAAAAAACTCATTATTATTGTCGTTTTATGTCATACTTATATGATAGATATATATCTTTTATTACTTGAAGTTACTCTAAAAGTTTCATCATAATAGAATAAAAAATTTTTAAGAAAAAAAGCAAACATATTTCATATATTAATATTATAATGAAACCGATATGTGATATTTTTGATTACTGAATTTTGTTGTTTTTTGTTTTGTTTATAGTAAGGTCATTGTTTTATGAGTAAATCGAATTCTATAAATTTCTTTTTCTAAACGTTTTATGAAGAAATATTTATGTAAAAATAATCAAATAAATAATATTTTTCGTTTATATTTTCTAAGAAAATATTAAAGTTAAAGCTGAAAATTGTCGAATTTCTATCATAGAAATATTTGTATATAACTTTATATTTGATGAAATTCAATTATTTTTGACCTATTTTAATAGAAAATTTTTTTTTTTTTCTTAAAAACATTTTTAAAAAATCAAATAATAATTAAGATTTAATTTAATAAAAAAATTGAATATTTTTTTCAAATATGATATAATAATATGTTTAGCTTGAAACATAGAAAAACTAAAATTGATAAATTCAATGATATATTAATAAAATATTAATCAAACAATAATTATTATTTCATATTATTTATAATTAATATTTTATGGTTATTTTCGTTTGAATTTCGAGACGCAAATGATCAAAAAAGAAAATAATCAATGATAGAAAGCATAAATAAAAAACTAATTAATATATATTTTTTATTGTATTCTGATTGAGCCAATGATTGATGAGATCTTCGAGAGATACATTCCATTTTCATATCTTTACTTGGAAGTCGATTTTCAAGCCATTTATTCAACATTTCTATAGGACATATTACATTAGTACATGTTAAAAAATTAATTCATTTAATTTATTCGAAAAATAAATTATTAATATTTTGAGATATTAAAAACTTACGTAATAATTCAATTGGATAAGTTGTACGATCGTTTGTTGAATTCAAGTATTCCAATTTTAAAAAATATGTTTTATTTTCTTTATTGAATAAACTAATAGTTGGTAAATAAAAGGATAAAAAAATCAATATTGTATATTAACCTGGTATATGATATAAATCAAAGAAAAGTGTACTACAATATACTGGTTGATGAATATAATTAGCTTGAAAATAAGATAATATTGGAACAATTGTTGCATCATGCTACAAATTAAATGAATTAAATTTTTAAAAAATTAATATCATTTTTGAGGAAATTAAATTACTCCTGAGTAAATTTTAGCTTTCCATCCAGTGGATTCATTTAAGATCAAATTTTCTATGTTTTCCATAATATTGCCAATAATTGGACCTTAAAAAATAAGTTAAATTGAAAATATTATAAACATATTCTGTTTTATTAGAATAAAATATTTACCTGCTATAATTTTATTTGTCTCAAATGAATTGAAAAGATAATAAAATGAAAAATCAGCGATTTGTTGAAGTTGAGAAAGTACAAAAGTATTTGTCCATGATGAAGTTTTATTGTACAATGCCTTGAAATGATAATAAGACAAGTTGAAAAACAAATTAAATTCATCTCAAAATCTATGATATATACTTCAATTAAAATAATATCGGCGACAATCCATGCATCGAATAAATCATTTATTTTTGATCCTATTCACATTTCGAGTTTATCAAAAAAGTTCTGTAACAAAATATTATTTTAATCTAAGTAAATATATGAAATCATACTCGAAAGTCTCGGCTTATATTTTGTATTTGTTCCGTATTTCTTATTTCTTCTACAAGTTCGAAAAAGTATGGACATTCACTGACACCCATCACCTTAAAAAATAATATTTTATATATTTTAATATAAATCACGAAATGAATACAATCACATTTTAATGATAAACATCATCAAATAATAGATTACTTTTATATATTTTATAATTAGTTCAAATTTAAATAGAAAAAAAAATTATTATTTATCAAAGAGAAACTACGTAGTTAGATTATTTTTTATTAAATTTATTGTCTATTACTAAAAATAAAAAATAAAACATTTATTAAATCTTCTATGGAATGTTTTTTTTTCAATCGTGTGATCAAATTACAAAAGATCATTCGGAATCAGTTTCATCAAAACAAAAATTAAAAAAGAGAAAGAAACAAGATTTTTCTTTGTCTTTGAATATGATAAATATAGATAAATGTCTGGTATTTTCATTATACCAGTTGTGTCAAACCTAAAAACTAAATTCATTTATTAAACTATCGTACAAATACTCAATTATTCAATGGTTTTTTTCGTATGTGTTACAATTTTGTGACACTCTTAGTCTTAGTGAGAAAAATGTTGTTTATATGTTTTTCTGAAACATTTATGACACTTAAATAGTTGAATAGATGAAATTTAACTTCGAACTGTGACATAAATAAATATATTTGAAGAAATAAATAAATTTGAATTTCTTTTAAATAAGTTTTTATTTTTTCAAAACAATTAAATATAATTGAAAATAAAATCAACTGAAAACCATCGATTATTTTCGTTTTGATATATTTCAATAAAACTTATCGTATAACTCTAGCTCTAGAATAATATATTAATAAATATCTTACGATATTTTTCGTAACTTGAATAAAATAATAATTGTAGAATATTTTAATTTTTTTTCATTTAAAGATCATATTTTTAATTAAAAGAAACAACTGTCACCATTCAATATTATATTGCAAAAACTCTCAAAACCTATAAATATGTTAAGAACGTTTTAACAAAGTAGTCTACAACGAAATAGTACTAAATATTTTAATGAACTCTTTAATACATTTTGCAACTAGGTAAATTTATAGAATGATTTATCATGAAAAAACAACTGTTCTCTTCATTAGATGCAAAATCATTAGACAGAATCTTATTTTTTTCCTTTTGACAGGCACATTTTTTTTTACTTAAAAACTGAAAAGGCAAAAAAGCGATTTTATTTTGGTTTCTGCGGCTGTTGTTAATTTATATAAGCATTTAATTAACAAAATATTTTCACATTAAAAATTTTTATTCGAACTAAGAGACGTTTGAAAAACTTTTCCCCCTGTCTTTTTGATAAATAAATTTTTACTGATGAACGATAATCATCTACAGTCAACAAATAAGAGACAGTTCGGATTTGAATCGCTAAACGCAATTTTAGTAGAAAAAAAAACAAATGATACTGTCAACTGTGATACAATTGTAAAAATGCTAGAACTGATTACTATATGAACATAATTCTGAACAAATTTAATTCATCCGTATATTTTCATTTTTCATTTTTAAATTATTCGTTTTTTCCGAAATAACACGTTTCAGAGAGAATTTTCTATGTTCACACAAATCAACTTAATATACAGTCGTAAAAAAACCGTAACAAGACCAAATAAAAAGCAAATAAATCTTTTATGTTAAGGAACATCAATAAGTCATAAATGACTCATGTAACACGTTTACACTAAAAATCTTTCCCTCAAATCTACACATATGAGGATCCTATTGAGTATTTATATAATCTATTTCTGTGATATGTTAAATTTAAACTCTTTTGAATTCATCACAGAGAGTACAGAATTGAGAAGGATCACTTAATCTTGACGAAATATTGAACATGATCCTATGTTATCATTTTTCTAAAAAATAAAAAATAATTTTTTCATTTGCTGAAATTGGACAGTTTATAAGGATATTGTACTTTGACAAAAAGAAATCTATCTCTTGAAATACGTACATAATCAATTGATTTTGGTACGGTATGTACGGGAATTGGTTGCCATGGCAAAACTTCTGGCCACTTGTTATCCTGTTCTATTTCTGATAGTATAAGATCCAATTTTTCCTTTGATGTAGGATAGAGTCCAAGTAAATTTGAGTAGGCTGACATAAGAGTTCTATCATAGTCCGTACTTCGAACAGTTACTTATGTTTTTATAACGAAAAAACTTCAAGATTTTTTTTTGTTAATTTTGATTTTTGTTTGACTCACTTCAGAAGCGACATAAGTTGAATTCAGTAATTCAAAATATCGTTCTCGAAAATATTGTCCTAATCCTAATCGTATTTGTTGAAGTTGTCCTCGAAGCGTCAATTGTCCAAAGCCATTTAGCCAGAAGAATTCGTCGACATTACCTTCGGATAGAAAAAAGTGGGAGAACGTTCTCCATGACGATAAATCTTTTGTTAAATAGATATTTTTACTTAAAATAATTAATAAACTAAAGCACATTACGTACTATGTGTGTACCCACAAGTTTTGTTTGTTGTTGAGAAGATTTTATTTGATTAATGAGAAGAAAAAAGCAGAAAAAAACGTACAATAATATTTTGATCATTTTTGAATCAATAAGAGAAAATGATTATTGTGTATGCTTTTCAAAAGAAATTAGTATTGAGAGCTTAGTCGAAGGTAAATAGCAAAAATAATCGTATTTATCTTTGTAAATATCTTTCTTTTTGCATATATAATTTCAGTTTTTTTCATCGTATACCATAAATTGATATGAAAAAAAAATGGTTCGATACAAGTTTCTAAAAATAGATTCAGAATAATCATAATCTATTTTCTAATATGGATTTTTGTTGTTAATCTTGTCATTCTGTTTTCATCCGATATAAAAAAGAGAACATTTGCTGTTGAATCAACAAACTTCGTTCACGAAACATTCTTGCTTTCAACATTGTTGTCTCAAATGAAAGGTCTAATCAAATCATAGTTAAATACAAAGCATTAGGTAATTAATCTAAAGTTGTTGAAAGTTACCTTTGATCAGAATGTTCATATTTATTCTTCAACACATTGACGAAGAAAAAAATAAGTCATATCTTTATAGTCTTGTGAGAAATGTTGGAACAAATATTATTCTGATCTAATATTGATACAGGTATACACTTATAGTCATATTAAAGTTTTTATAGATGAATGATTTTTCTTTATGTATTTTTCTCAAAAGAAAAGATGTTACGTGAAAAATTTGTGTATGCTTGTTTGTTTGTCTGTTCAAGCCAATTAGAAACTATCATATAAGTTATCATTATAAATACTGCTAAATGCTATTCTTCAGAGAAACGTACTGTACTTTTCAATGAGCGGAATTTATATAGAATTTTTTTTGATTTCTGATGATTTTATGTGATAAATAGATTTTCATCGATCATTTAGAATTATCGTTTCAATGTAAGCAGATTATGCAGCCACTTGACTAACAACTGACTTTCAGTTGCTGATTATGAGACGTGATCAGCCAACACAAAATAGAGAAATTAGTCTAGATGTATGCAGTAGACAATAGCGTGCTATAGAAGCAATATTATGAGGACTTAATTCAGTGTTTTTTAAAGATCGCATGATCATTCTTTCTGTAAAAGCCAAGCGAATTCCTAGATAAGCATTACTTGTTCTTATGGTTCTCCTGAAAAACGCCGAAATAAAAATGTCGAAATATAAAATGTCCACAAAGAAATATTTCTTCTTAAATATGATTATTACATGTTTAATATTAAAATAAAGTCTTTACTCATATCATAGCAACAATATATTTTATTTTACTACTCTTATGCAATGCATTTCGACATTTTCCTCTTTCGATATTTTTATTTTCGACATTTTTACTTTCTATCAAATTCTAGTTTACCGTTCTTATAACACAGAAAAAAAAATTTTCTTTTGTTTTCGAATTCGAATTTTCATCATTACCGATATCATTGAAATCATCAATGAAAATGTATTCAATAATTGTAGTCATGATCTAAACTATGGTCAAAATTAGAAAATACCATATTATAATCAACGAGAGTGATGAAATGAGACTACGAGAGAGAGGTTTTGTAGTTTTAGTAATAATTCCTCGGCTACATCCGAGATGCTAAAGGAAAGCACATACTTGTGAGCAACAGTTTACAGTTGGTAGTCTGAGAGTGCTATAGCGACACGATCCTTGAGTAAGTTTACTAGTATTGTTATTATCCAACTGAATAGTAAAGATGTATGATTTGGTAGTATCGTATCAGGATTGAAATCTGAGTCGAACGAAATTGTCTATGACTTCGGATATCACGACATTGAATATCATTTTATCTGAATTGTAGTAAACTGGTTTTGGATGATCCTGCATATATAAGATTGTTAGATGAATTTAGTATGAACTTGACACAATAGAATTATTAAAACAAAAGAGAAACATGTATACTACTGAAAGTAACACTTTTAATATCATTTGCTGTAAGAGACGGAAGCAGACACAAAAATGCTGTCACATTTGTTCCACCGAAAAATGTTTAGCTTTTGAAGCTAATACTTTTATCCAGAATATTGCTTTTTTTCAATTTTTCTAGTTTTTTAATGGTGATCTTCATATCTCCATGTCTATTTAAAGTCACTGGAGACCACTGATTTTTGTAAGAAAAGAATAATGAATAAGATCCGTCGTTAAAAATAAACGAGGATACTTTTTTTCGGAGGAAAAGTGTTAACAAATATCTTCACTTATGTAGAGGTCTGCCTAGGTGTCATGCTCAAGTGGAAAAAGTAAATTTTTACTTCATTTAGTTTTGAGCTCATTTCTTATAATCAGATTTCTGTTACCTTTGTTTGGCTTATAAGGGGGTTTTTGCTTGGCTACATCTCTCAATACTTGAAATGTCAAAACTAATATAAAAAACCTCACTTCTCATGGTTCTGGAAATGTTGCATAGATTTTTTTTGAAGCTTTTCTATTTCGCTGAACTTCATTCGTTTCTCTAACGTGTTAAAAAGTACCAAACTTTTGTAAATATGTGTGTAGCTGAAAATCGTCAAATTCGTAAGATGAAACTCTTTATTATTCAGCTGCAGGAAATCTCTATATTTTGGGTATGTCTGTGTTCTATTCTCTGCAGGTCTGTTTTCAGCTTTTATCAAGAGTGCAGAACTTCTCGTAAGAGGGTGGTGATTTACATTAATGCCACTGTTTCCATGATTTAGTGTAATTTGAAGGAACTTTGACTTCAGAAATTGGGTAAATGGTTTTGAACGACAAAATTGATGTTTCATGCTGAAACTCAGGATTTCTCCTTTGGGCTTTTTGTTTTGTCAGATTTAAAGTCTATGAATTTTCTGTTGTCGAGACTTGTTCGAATGCTGAGAAATATTCATTTTTTTTCTTGGATAGAGCGGTGCACCTATATGTAGATTTCCTTGATTAGTATGAGACGTATGCTGCATGAGAAAAGAAATTAAGAGAAAATAGACCAATTAGCTAATTCTATTTCGAAAACAACTACCAAAACCGGAAGAGCTTCCAACAACTAACTAATGAGCGAAGTTCACTCGAGCACAGTTGCGTTCAATATAACCTCAATAAAGAAAGCTGTATACTCTATAGTAATCATAACAATAATTTTAGAACAAAAAATCAAAAACATTTCAAAAGTAGAGAGAAATTACCGTTACTTTACCAAGTAACTGGTACAGCTTTCATTTCTTGATAAAGTAACTGATCAGTGACGGTAACTGACTGACATTGTGTTCCAGGGAAGATAGCACACCGTTATGTAGAAAAGCCACCAGTAACTAGCGATGGACTCGGTATTAGTTGCATGCGTAGCCAATAACTGATCAGTTACTGGTTATTTAGTTACGGAATGGTAAGTTCTCATCGTTACCGAGAAGCAAAAACTGTGTCAGTTATCAGTTATTTAGATCAATGATAACTGATCTGTTACTCGTTACCTAGTAAAGAAACTCTCTGGTAACGATAGAGGACAACTCCATTTCAAAAGTGGTCATCTCTACTTAGTGAACACTTTCAAAACGTCTCTTGGCTGCCTGTCACAGAGTGATCGAATTTGACATACCATAATAAAAGTTAGAAGAATATATATGTTTAAAAAGACATCAAACTATGAACCGGTAGATGAAGTAATAAAATCAAATCTTTTAGTTAATCAGTAGCGTTTTTCTGAAAAAAGAGGAGATATGGAGACAAACGGTGTTATATTTTTGATCCTAATGATAAGATGATACCCTTCAAAAAAGGGAATCCATGTGCCATACAAAAATTTAGCAAGATCAAAATGTAGACCTTCTAACAAAAAATCTGTTGAATTAAATAATAAACATGAGGAAGACAAAGATAATGAACTGCACCAATCTGACGAGCAATCTAGCGGGAATGACAAGATGGAGGGATGTGATGAATCGATACCAATCGATGAATTTGATCTTAGTATTCTTCCGGATGTGTCTAGTTCCGAACTTCATGAAATTCGCATCTTGGATTCCTTTGATAATTGTCAATCTGAATCGTTGTGTCACGTCAAAGTCAATGATCATAGGACAAATATGCTTCGATAGACTGCAAACCGGTACTTGCCGAAAGCTAAATCTATTTTATCTTCTGATCGATTCAATAAGGTTCCAGAGAAAAGATAATTTTTTGTCTCGTCTTTTCCTATACATTATATTACTGTCATAACAAAAACTGAATAGTATATCTTTGTCTTCCTACGTTTCAGAAAATGAATTAACGTGTGATCTATCTTGCATTGATCATAAATATATCTGATCTAACGAATACATAGACGATGAAAGGCTATAAGATATATTCGCCGTGGTCCAAAGTCAAATGAGCACTATTTTTCCGATTTCTTTTTTGATCATCATCAGTTAGACCTCACACTAACATCCCATATATTAGATGAAACTAAGCTAAAAGTACAGCATTAGATCAGTATTTAGGTGAACTAATTTCTGGAAAAGCATGCAAATATATCTTACTTCTCGTCTATGACAATACGTCAAATTCGGTGCTTTCGAGCTCTGTTCGATTTTCGTTGATGTGCCTGTTTATTTCGATCTGTAAAGTGAATCCAATTAAATTGATTTTTCTTAAATCAGTACAAAATGTA